GGGACAAGGACATTAGAAGCCCTCCCACTGTTGACCCCCCCCCCAAGCACCAAGAAGACAGAGCATCACTTGCCCCAGAGCCCCTAGCTATACCTTGTGGCTAATAGCCACTGATGGACCTCTGCTCCATATGCTTATCTAATTCCCTTTTGAAGCCGTCCATGCTTGTAGCACCCACCACTTCCTGTGGCAGTGAATTCCATGTGTTAATCACTCTTTGGGTGAAGAAGTACTTCCTTTTATCCATTCTAACCCGACCGCTCTGCAGTTTCATGGAGTGCCCACGAGTTCTTGTATTGTGAGAAAGGGAGAAAAGTACCTCTTTCTCTACCTGCTCTTTCCCATGCATAATCTTATAAACCTCAGTCATGTCACCCCTCAGTCGTCGTTTCTAGCTAACATTTAAAAAGTTGAAAGGGGGAGCTTTACACATTCGGGATGTTAATATAATGAAAAGTGCAAATACTTCTTAGATAGTACATTCTCACTTGTTGGGTTATTTGAAGTGTAATCAAAGAAACAATACCACTTTCTATAAAACATGACTGATGGGTAGAATTGTCTGCAGTTACCAACTGATCCGAGATTTTATCCAGCACTTCAAAGTCCCATACCTTTAAAAACATTGCTTAATTGTGGGAATCTCATCTGACTTCCATTTCTGAGCTAATAAGATTTTTGCAGCAATTAGTAGTATGGCAATGAGTTCTCGTCTTTGCTTTGGGACATCATTATTTGGCCAGAGATTCAACAAGAGAATTTCAGGTTTGGGTGGAATTACATGATGAGTAATATCTTGTATAATTTCAAGAATTTTAGTCCAAAATGGTTGGCGTTTTGGACATGTCCACCAATAATAAACAGACAGACACAATTGGTTTAGACAGTCTTAGGACATCATTATTTGGCCAGAGATTCAACAAGAGAATTTCAGGTTTGGGTGGAATTACATGATGAGTAATATCTTGTATAATTTCAAGAATTTTAGTCCAAAATGGTTGGCGTTTTGGACATGTCCACCAATAATAAACAGACAGACACAATTGGTTTAGACAGTCTTAGGACACCGTTGTCCCATTTTAAACCCTCTTCAGCGCCGTTCGGAGGCAGCCGCAGAGCTGTTGGCCGAGAAGGCCCAAATCGCTGAGGACGAGGCGAAGCTGCTGGCGCAGAATGCTGCTGAGGCTGAGCAGCAACGCCAAAGGCTGGAGCTGGCGGCCCGAAAGACCAAGGAAGAGAAGCACCTGATGGAGCACAAGATGCGGGAGGCAGAGCTAATCGCCATGCAGCTGGTGAAAGAGTCGGACCTCAGGTCAACTGACTGCTGTTGCAGGGGGCGTAATGGGCAGCGGGACTTTAACTGGGCACTGTGTAACAGCACTTGAAAAAATGAAGAAGCAGGATGTGGGTGTTTTGGGGAGCTGCCTGATGGGCTGCTTTCTCCAGAATGGTAGGCAATAAATAGGGTTCCTGTCTGCCCACTTATGGTGGGAAACCTCCAGGTCAGGGCTATTTTTGGGCAGGAACGTTCCGGCTGGCTCCCAAGTTGGCCACGCCCAGCAGGAACTCATTAGTATAATAGGCCACACCCAACAGCAGAAACTCATTAAGATTGACTACAGTAGGGGTGTGTGGCCTAACATGCAAAGGAATTCCTGCTACAAAAAAGCCCTGGGTTTTGACTAGGGCTGCCAACCCCCCCGGTAGGGCGGAATTCCCCCCGCCCCGGAGGCCCGTTACCCGACGCCGGGGAATCCGGGCCCGGGGGGAACTCCGCCCCGGCGTGCGTGTCACCGGAAGTGACGTCGCACGCTGGGGGCGGGGCCACTCAAATGGCGTGGCCCCGCCCAGCGCGTGACGTCACTTCCAGTGACGCGCCGGCGGCGCGCGCGCGCAAAGCGCGCGCACGAGGACATTTGGAAGAGGCTCCCGGACCGGCTGGGCTCTCCCCCGCCGCTACATTTTCGTGAGTTGGCAACCCTAGTTTTGACAACAAACAAGGTAAACAGAATAACAAGCAAAAGGTGGGTGTGGCTGGATGACCACACTTCTGGTAACATGGGGATGCAGCCTCATGTGCTAATAAGCTGTGCTGTCAGGGGTGTGGCCTAACATGCTAATGAGTTTCTGCTTTGGGGTGTGGCCTGTTATGCTAATGAGTTCCTGCTGGGCTTTTTCTACAAAAAGAGCCCTGCTCCAGGTAATTGTAGTCCTTGCCCACTGATGTTGACCTGATCTGCGGGTGGAAAGTGGGCCCAAACAGGTGGAGGGATCATCCAGGGGAGAAAAATTAAGTAGGAAGATAAGGCCTCATCTACTTCTAGGAAGTTCTGACCATAGAGTTCCTAGTGATCCCTAAGTTACCTGGAAGTGACAAGGGTGGCTCTAGATGAGTCTTTATTTTTCTTTTAAATTTTTCTCCAAGGATGCTGCCCTCCCCCCACAACCGTGCCTGGCAACCCTAGGAATAAAATTTAAACATACTTAAGCTCAAGATAAGCCTGCATTTATTTTTTTCCCCTTGCACTGAAAGAGCATCTGCTTGGCATGCAGAAGGTCCCAGGTTCGATCCCCGGCATCTCCAGTTAAAAGGATCAGGTAGGAGGTGATGTGAAAGACCTCAGCCTGAGACCCTGGAGAGCAGGGGTTTGTTTTCTGCTCTTCACAAATGGCCACGGACAGCATCAAAATTCGTGGAAGTTTGTGATGGCTCTTCAGTTCGCGAACATCACTTTGCAATCGACGAACTGGCCAAAATTTGTGATGAACTTTAGTTCATCGGCTTGTAATGTCTATCCATAGTTAGACTTATGGCAATTTCTAATGGATTGTCTATGACAGAGGTCAGCAACCTTTTATAATTAAATGGTCAAACTACATTAAAATTCAGAGCAAGAGATCAACAACTGAAGATAGACCACTTAACATTACTGATCATTGACATATTGATAAGTAACCTATAAAGTTATTGTAGTCAGGGGTCGTTTCGTAGAAAAAGAGCTAGGGGAACTCATTAGCATTACTCATTATCATATGCCACACCCCATGACATCAGCGGAAGTGTGTCATAAGGCCACACCCCCTGAATGCGCTCGCCCGCTTCGGGAGAGGGGATCAAAGTGTAATACAAGCCTCCTCTGAGACTTGATCACACCAATCTCAACTCTCTCTTGGGTCTTGATGCCTGCCAGTCATTCCCCCTGCCTGGGGGAAGCTGCGTTGGACCAAAACACAGTCCAAACTGCTGTAAGGAACACCCGTCCACCCTGAGCACTTACAGGGTGCGTCAAATCACCATTTTACCCTGACCGGAAGCAGGGGGTGGGGCTTTGTCGTGTGTCCCACCCCCCGCACCTCACCCGGGGGAACGGCGATCCCCCGGGATTCCCCCCGAATCGACCCCTGACTGTAGTCCTCTATTAGGAAGCAAATCTCACAGTGAATAATAAACATATCCAGGATCACCCTGCAGATTGTTTTTGACACAAAATCTATGCGCTCAAATACCGTAACAGCAGGGCTTTTGGTGGGGGAGGGGTGGGCTTGGAAGCCAGGTGGAACTCCGTTCCTGTGCGTTCCTGCCCCAAAATAGCGCTGGTTTTCGTGCACTTTGCATAGTTTGCACTTGGATTACTGGCAGCTGATCACCTCTTTCATTACAATTCTGCTAAGTATCTCTAAGAAGCCCACTAGTCCCATAACATTTGTCTGCCATTCCCTTGACATACTGATGATTATAGTGTTCCGTCTACACATAAACTTAAGAGATTTCATTTTTTTTAAAAAAAGAAATACTTTTTGTTCTGTAGTGAGTCATATTTGGCTCTGGCCTTAGAGACCTAGGTCACAGATACCTGGTCTAAGAAGTGGCTGTGTGATGTCCTCGTAGTCAAGGGCCTGTATGTTCATGGCAGTGGTTTTGTTTGGCAGGGCCAAAGAAACGGAGCATTTGAAACAGGACCTGCAGGAAGCCAGGGAAGCGGAAGAAAAGGTCAAGCAGAAACTCCTGGATGTCAACAAGCTTAATCATCTTCCAGTAAGTCTGCAGCACATCTACACCAGAAAAATCAACCGGCTTAAAGTTTGCTTAACCTTCGAGGCTTCTTGGCTTTAAAACCCTGAAAAATAAAATGAATTCCACTGGTATAGCTGCATTAGTCTATTGTGGTAAAATGTTAATTAATGTCATTCAAGGAGGAAACTAAAGATATCCGATGCAGTCTTTGGTTGTGTGATAATAGACAAAAAATACCCTGTAGTTCTTTTGTTTTATTAGGGGAGGGCTTGTGGTTCACTGGAAGAGCCCTGCTTTTATTTATTTATTTAGGTATTTTTACCCCGCCCTCCCCGCAAGCAGGCTCAGGGCGGCTTACAAGGGCATAAGCCATACATAAAATCCAGTAAAATCATAAAACACAACCACTAACATACTATTAACAATAAAGTGCTTTGATTCCCAAGATGGTCTAAGTTGTTACAGTGATGTCTTCCAGCGACCCCAATTTGGGGTACCATCGTCCAATAGATAGTCCGAGCAAGTCGGCTGGTCTTTGCATGCAGAAAGTCCCTGGTTCAATCTCTGGCATCTCCAGTTAACAGGACAAGGCAGTAGGTGATGTGAAAGACCTGTGCCTGAGACCCTGGAGAGCTGCTGCCTGTCTGAGTAGACAATACTGTTCCTGGTGGACCAAAGGTCTGATTCACTATAAGGCAGCTTCATGTGTGTTCATGGTTTTAAGTGGACAATGTAAACTGCCTTTGAGTTCTTTTTGGAGATGTTCCAAAACAATTAATCTCTGCTAAAATGATCAAAGTTTTTGGGATATGTTGGAAGAAGGATGATTAAGCCGATTTCAGGTAGCATCTCCTATTGCTGTATGCTGGTATAAGCTAACCAAGATTTGTAGGTGGTCACAACTGCAAGGACAGTAAGGATTCCAGGAAACAACCTGGAACCTCTTGCAGTGTTTCTATCCAGTGGCTGGGAAGCAACGCCTCTACCTCTTCGAGCACTCGGGATGCCAAAATGCCTGTCTATAAAAGGTCTATCAACAATTACAGTCCATGGGGGCTAAATGGAGCCAATGCTCCCTCTATGCTCTGGAGTCCTGTGAGCAAAAATTCCACTTTGTGAGCTACTGACATTAAAGTTGTGAGTGAGCGATTTGGCTACTGCATAAATTAGTTTGTTCTGGAGCAATCCTCCCTGAGCTAAGATGAAAATGGGTGAGCCGGAGGCTAAAAATCTGTGAGCTAGCTCACACTAACTCAGCTTAGAGGGAACACTGAATGGAACCTTCATATTTAGAGGCAGTAAAGCCCTCAGTACTAGATGCTAGTGATAATATTAGTAACAGATGCTAGTAACTGTCCTAGTAACAGTGGCAGAGGAGAAATCTTGCTTCTGGTATTCCTGAAGGTGTCTGGCCGGCCACTGTGGACAACAGAAATGCTGGACTAGTTTTGATCTGGTCCAGTAGGCCTTTCTTGTGATCTCTGCATCTTTGGCGTGTACTTCCCCAAGGTGTGTGCTTGCTGTGTTTCAATAACATTTGTTAAATTTAGCCTAGCATTTGGAGGCTAGGATTCCAAATAAACTATTAGGCTTGCTTTTTATGGCTTGATTCTTGCGGCAATGTATTGTTTTTTTGATACTGATTTTAATTCTTTATTGTGAGCAGCTCTGAAAGAGCTTGCCCCCTCCCTTTAGCCAAAAAGCAGTATGTAAAAATCATAAACGAATAACAATGCCCTTTTCTTCCTGCGTTCTCTGCATGCCGCTAAGTGCCCTCCGTCCTTCTTGGCCGACATCAGAGATGCCAGCGCTGAAAAAGGAGGTGTGAAGTTGGATTTAAGAGACATCGACTTGAAGAGGCTCTCCTTGGAGATTGAAAGAGAGAGGTAGGACTGTCCTCTAGTAGCAGAAGTGGGAGGAGCTCAGGACCATGCAGCGGAGGCAAAAAGGAAATCCCCAAAATCATGTGCCAAGGAGAGCGGGTGACTAAGTACATCGATTCCTTTCAATGCAAAAATTGCAAAAGAATTACCTGCCCCAGTGGAAGCTGGTATGAAGGAGGTGGAAAATCATGCAGAGATGCAATGGGCAGCCTCCCCTTTTTTGGGGGGGATACTCTGGGTTCACCAGAAAGTTTATTATACAGAGCAGAAAGTCTGGAAGTGATTGTCCTAAAGGTGGCTCAGTTCAAACATCACATAAAACCATGGTTGAAGTAGCAGCCAAGGTTAGTTCAATTGTCTGAATATGGGCCACATCACTAATTGTGGTTGGTTAGGATCCATCAGACAAGAGTATGGAGTTATGAATCAGTTAATTTCATGTTTTGTATGAAGTCAGACATTCTGGCTTATTCTGTGGTGTTGCCCTCTGAGGCTACAGAGAGAATAATGAACCCTGGTTTCAGAAACTAACCATGGTTAAAATAAGCCATGGTTTGTTGTGATGTCTAAACTGAGCCAGTATCTTAGGATGCCCAAAAAAACCCCATACCAATTTCCATGTCTGTGTGCAACATACCTGATGATGTACAAGGTACACTTGATCCTGATTTTTATAATCTGTCCATTCCTTAGTTTCTTTTCTGTGCCCAACAGGTTAGATTACCTTGACAAGAGCCGGAAGTTTGAAGATCGGCTAAAAGACCTCAAGTCAGAAATCCATGCTCTGAAACTTGAAGAGAAACAGGCTGGGCTTCTCTCACGCTGGAATGAATTGCTTGGGTCCTTGAACCGATCTTCGCGGAAAATGTACAAGGTTTAAATGCAGCCAAGCCAACCAATTTATTTTATTTTTTTACAAGTATAAAGGCAATCAATAAAGTATATAGGCAATCAATACTAGATCAGACCAAGGGCCCATCTAATCTAGTACTCTGCTTTCAACAATGGCTAGTCAGATGCCTCCAGGACTCCCCTGGAGCTAGGGGTAACAGCAATGACTTTCCCATCACATGAAGTGTCCTAAGTGCCTTCGGAAAACTACAATTCCCAGGACTCTTTGGGGGGGGGGAATAGAGCCATGACAGTTAAACTGGCTTCCCATCCATTCAGGTTTGTAGTGCGGATGCACTTTCAGTTGGCGCAAAGTTAATTTCTTGTTGATGTGTTCTTTCAAGACTCCTTTGTGGATCGAAGCCTTTGAGGCAGACCTTTTAGACAGCCTTCAGCGGCCTTTCTTGATGCATCCATTAAATGCAGATGACAAAACCGTACTCGGAACTCCGACAGAAAAACCTTCCCTTCAGACTGACCCATTTCTTGCTGGAAACGTGGGGACAGGAACCAGAAAGCAAATCAAGGTAACTAGGTTTTCGAGTATCCCAATCCAAAAGGATGGCTCGAGCTAGGGGATCAAGCAGCCCCAGCCGCAAACCAAATAACATTTCTCCTCTATCTCCCCCACCCACCCACCTTTTAAAGTGGTGTCTAGTAGCCCATGTCACAACTTGGATGCATAATTTGCATGCATGACTTATCACTATCATGTTAGGCAACAACTTTGTAGGCTCTGTAAACCAGTGTTTATTTATCATAGAAACAAAGGTGGTTCATAGCTTAAAGAAGCTTTTAAAAATTAACTGAAATGTGCCACTATCACAAAATTGAGCCGCAGGTCTGCACTGGGAGTTCCAGCGGGTTGACAGCCTTAGAAATTGCAGTATGGATTCAAGTACCTAGCAGTGGAGTCCTGTGCATGTTTAAT